ATCCATAGCCATATCTTACCACTTCCTGTTTCACTAATGTGAGTTTCACTACTATAGCTTTCCTAAGAATAATGAGGTAGTGAAGATTATAATAGTGATTATGACTGTGAGCTATGCTCTAAGCTATGCTAATTTAAGTAAATTTCAAATGTAATCCTCACACCTAACCTATGAGGTAGGTACTATCACTATTTCCATGTAAAAGTCAGCTTTAAAGAGCCTAAGTAACATGCCTAATGTTACTCAGCTAGAAGGTGGCAGAGCTGAGATGCAAAGAGCCATGATGAATATGCCAAAGCAGGTCCTTGTGTAGCCTGTGCATATTGTGTATGATTAAGAGAGAAGGAAAAATGTTAACCGAGGCAACATTCTCTAAACTCTCAAAGACTCTATATCTAATAATTATCTTTCTAATGTGGATTTATCACTTTAGTAATTTTGCCAAGCTCAAGTTGGCGATGACATTTGCAACACTATCAGCCCTATTTTTAAAGGATGGTACCAGAGTTGATTTTGAATGACCTATTAAAATACTAATTTCATCATTAAAACAGTTCTATGATTAGCTTCATTTTACATGAGAGAAAAATAGAGTGCTTACTGTCCGTATTTGCAGATAAAGAAACTAAGGGTTAGAGATGAAGATCAAAGTTACATAGCTAACGTGTCAAAACTGAGTAGAAAACACAAGAGTAGCCAGACTCCGAAACCTGTTATGCTAATCATTCCAAGTAGTGTACAGAATTGAGGAGTAGCCTTCCATGTTTCCAACCTCCTTGTGTTCAAACACATTCCTTGAGTGTAAATGAAACTTGTGACCTGCTTTTGAAGCACAGGATATGGCAAAGATAAAAAGACAGTCTGTCTGGTTAGCAGATTCATTTAGAGAAGTTAGAGACACTCTTCATTGGCTTGTTAAAGGAAGTAGCTGTGTTGGAAAGATGCACAGGGCAAGGACTTACAGTAGCTTCCGGGAGCTAAGAGTAACCTCCAGCAAGCACGAAGCCAGAGATTTCAGTCATGCAACGTCAAGAAAATGATTTCTGCCAATAACCTGAATGACCTTGAATGAGATTCTTCCCTCTGAAGCTTTCAGATGAGAACACAGCCTGACTGATGCTTTGATTACAGACCTTAAGTAGAAGGCAGGCTAAGCCAGTAATGGCGAATCTTTTAGAGTTTGCAATGACACAAACACCCCGCTGCAGCACATGTGCTGTGGTTTCAGTACCACTGGGCTAAGCTATGCCCAGACTTCTAATTCATAGAAACAGTGGTGTAGTAAATGTGTTATTTTAAATTGCTTAGTGGTGATTTGTACATGCCTATAGAACTGTCAGTGGATAAGGTGGGTCTTTAGTGGCATAGGAGATGGAAATCAAATATGGGCTGGTACTTGAGCTTGTTGACAACTGCCACTGTTGTCACCCTCTTCTTCAGGGTTCTCTAAGGGAAGGCCCTGTACTACTAGCCTCCAAGATGTAACTTATCAGCTGAGGGTTCTTGCTCAATTTGTATAGAAGTCATGAATTGGCAAAGTATAGCTCTTTCAGTGTTAAAAGCTGTGAGCTTTGAATGCCAGCAGCTATAAGCTTTTCTTAGTATTAGTGGCCCTCCTTGCTACTTGGAGCCAGCAGTTATCATAGGAACTCTTTTAGCCTCCAGAGATGGAAGCTCTCAGCTATCTTTCATTGCTCTCCACTGTCCTCAGCCCTAGCATGCTGCAGTGTTGCCAGCCCTGGATCCCAGTGGGTTTCAGAGCCAGAGGCCTTTCGTGTCAGCAGCTCCTAGTGTATCAGCTCAGCATGCTGTCCTAGAGGCAAAAATCAGGAGTGAGTGAAAATGTGCTGTCAGAACAGGATGGCACATGTGCAATGTCAGACTTTCTGCTTGGTCATGGATAGGGCAGCAGTTCCCTATGTGCCTGAAAGATGAGGGCTGCAGAAGGTGGAGTTATCCAGAGAGGCCACAGGACAGAGTCATCTGGGATAAGTCCCAGACTGAGGCCTGCTACTGTCAAAGGAAATATCTCATGGAGTGGCTATGGGTGCCTGATGTAGCTAAATTGGCTTAAGACATTTGGGGCAGTCATGTATTAAAAGTACCATTTGGGGAGTTGGGCCCTTCTATCCTGTTTCAAAACTGAAATACTATACTACCTTGGTTTTTCTTTTTTTTTTTTTTTTCCGGTACTGGGAATTGAACTCATAACCTTGCGCTTGCCAGGCAGGGGCTGTGCCACTGAGCTAAATCCCCAGCCCCTACCTTGGTTTTTCTTATGCTTGGATTGTACCTGATTCTTATTACATGGTAGCTGCTATTATTAAGTTAATCAAAATGGAAAATTTGAATATTAGCATCAGAGAGAATGGTAATAGAGAAATTGAACAGGGTTAAATACTTGCTTGCAAAATAAGCAGCTGATACAGAAGAGACAAACAGATGGTATGTTGAAAACATAATTATTAAGTGCATTGTTATCAAGTGAAATATTATACAATTCTTACTAGTGCTTATACAAACAGTTTTAACATCTTACATCATACTCTGTGTCAATTGCAAAGTTTTTCTATGTTAAGATAATCCTACACTGAATATGAGGAAACATCAAAACAGTTTCAGATTAGAGCCATGGTTTCAGGTAGGAGTCACACTATTATAAATTATGATGTTTAGACATTGTAACATTTAAAAGTAGCTCCAATGTGATAGAGAAAATAATTCAAGATATTGGATCAAAAAGTCAAACCCTGATGAAAAAACTACCAGTTTAATACATTCAATTTATGAGTACATATGGTTTTGCTTACCAAGGATAACTTATTTGTACTAAACATACAACCTAATTATAAATACTTGGCTGTAAAGTAGGTTAGAGAACTTGCAGGAATTTCCATTTGATAGACTCAGGTTTGCTATTGTGAAAAAAATAGAGGGGTTAGTACTCATATCTTTCTAAATTGCAAAAAGGTTTTCCTGTTTGTTCCTTGTACTAGCACCTCCTTTCCCCTCTGTATTTACATTGACACATGAATGTACAGTTTCTTTTCTTTCCTGTGTGTGTGGGGGTGGTGGCGGTACTGGGGACTGAACCCAGGGCCTTTGCACTGAGCTACACCCCAGCTCTTTTTTTTATTTTTTATTTTCAGACTGGGACTTACTAAGTCACTAAGTTGCCCAGCCTCAGCTCAAACTCACAATTCTGCCTCAGCTTCCCAGAGTGCTGCAATTATAGACATGCACCACCATACCTAGCTATGAATATATAGTAAATATGCCAAGAACACTGTTAATATGGTAGTTAAGTATTTTCTTAATATTTGCTCTTTTTAGGTCAATGACAGACTCCTCTATCAAGTTTTCTTAATTTTCTGTCATCTATGATTTCTGGGAATGAGCACTAATAATATATCTCTATGCATTTATTTGTAACTTGACATTTAATATTTAAATAATTCCAGATGATTCAAGAGCTAGCAAATGAACCTAGTAATGTGAACTTTTTTTGCCTTTAAATAAAATTGTCTAATTTCTTTGTCTTTCATTTTCAAACCTGATTAGCACTTACTTTTCTCTTTAAAGATTATGAATGGTTCTGTGGAAAGGGAAGAGTAAACGTTGTGCTGTCCCTGAAAGAACTAAGCACAATGCTTAGTGTGTATTTTCTTCTTATGGTGGATAATAAGGAAGCAAACCAGTTTGTCTTGCTCTAGTGACCTGGAGCCACCCAATGGCTACAAATTAATTCATGTGCAAACTAGAACAAATTTGGAATCTTTTTTGGAACAAGGTAGAGTATTTTTTAAAAGGCCAAAGCCAGGATTAAGGCAGCTTTTGAACTTTTGTTGGCTTCCTGATGTAGGTTCGAAATATAGGACACTGCTAAGTCCATTTCTTAGTATAATGTATGAACTGATTCTAGTCATAAAGTGAAAATATTTTTCTCTTTGGCCTTAGACAAAATTTGGTTAATCCTTTCATTATTATAAATTCATTTGTTTTAGATTTTTCAAGAAATTTAATTGACTAATAATTGTATATATTTATGGGATATAATGTGCTGTTCAGATGCAAGTTTCACTTTGAAAAAGTCACTTTAAAAAACTGCAAACAACTTAGAAAAAATTCTAAGACATTCCTTTCTTATGTACAGAGTGTGAGGTGATTAAATCAAATTGATTAACATGTCCATCACTTCAACTATTTTTTTATGATGAGAATAAAACGCCCTTTCAGCAATTTTGAAAAATATGTTATAATTAATTATAGTAATTATAGTTACTATGCTGTGCAACAGACTGCTGGAATTTATTCCTTCTTATCTAACTGAAAGTGTGCCTTTCACCACCTCCCTATTCCTTACCCTCTGGTAACTACCATTCCAGTCCACTTCTGTGTAAACTCATATCTTTGTTATTTTTTATTTGTTGTCTTATTTATTTGCAAGATCTTGTTCAATATTAGGCAAGCTCTTCAACCAGTGAGCTACACTCCCAGACCTTTTTGAGACAGATTCTTACCAAATTGTCCAACCTGCCCTCATAATGTGTAATCCTCCTGTTTCAATCTGTGTAGTAGCTGGGATTACTGGTGCATACCACTATGCTCCACTTTTTTTATAGTTAAATTTATTTCATATTCGGGATTTTTATAGAATTGTACTTAAAAAATACAGTGAATAACTTCTCAACTATTTTTGTTGTGTTGTTTTCCTCTTTGTCTTGCCCTTTCTCTAACTTTACCTCTTTGGTGGGTAAATTCTTTCACAGAGTTGTTTGCAGGTTTTTAAAGTGACTTTTTCAAAGTGCATCAATCCCCCCTCCCCCAGTGTCCAACTGTAGGAGTTATTTTCATTTTTGATTTGTTAGAACATATTGAGTACCTTATAAATGCTTGAAATTTATTTTTAGGCAAACACAAATGGAATAAAATCTTCCTAAAATTGAGACATAGCATTCAAAACATTGAGAGCCTTTGAAAAAAAAATTCTAAGACATTCCTTTCTTATGAATTGTATTTTATTGGTGTTAAGATTGCAAACTCTGAAACCGGGCTAAATAGGAATACTGTTAAGAATATTAACAATGAACACACATACTTCAAGAATCTCATTCTTCAGATAGCGGGGATAACTGATGTCAGCGTCAGGGAAGTGTGATAGGTGCCCAGGAGGAAGGCCTGGAACTTGCAGAAGACCTGACAAGGTTTCAGCAGACAATACATTATTTTCAGAGTCCAGCGGGGTGTCTTTGGGGTGGGGTGGGGGTAGGGGTGACCTTTTCACCTCTGAAGTGCTTTAATTGGGAAACCAAACAGCGGTTCTTTGAGGGGGTGAAAGGAGAGGTGGACTCTCGTTGCAGTATCAGCTGTAGAAGGCGATGGGGTGACTTAGGGACGTGTGGAGTCGTGGCGTGCGGGGTGGGCGAGGGCTTCGCGGGAGAATCGCGTCGCACACCGGGAAGGCGGAAGCCGGCACTCGGTGTTCCCGGGGACCACTCGGGGAGGGGAGGTCGTGGGGGACGGCGGAGCTGGGCGAGGATTTCCCTCTCTGCCGGTGGGACTACTGCAGGAGGCGCGGGGAGCGGCGCCGGGTGCTCCCCGGCCCGGGGGAGCTCCGGCTGCGCCC